GCTACCTCTAAGATGACGTCACCCCACCGTGTACTTCGTCAGCGCAACCACGACCACTCTGACAAGAGTGCCCGACTAAGAAGAGTAACTTTGTAGCATTTTTACTTTGTAATAATGAAACACTTTAATACAGGATAGTTTGGATACTCGACCTACTCCTTGAAAGAGGTTACACTAGAGGTCATTAGTAAAAAATTAAGTCCAGTGAACCAGTCCCATTCACCCTGTATCACACTGCAGATCCGTGTTCTAGATAAATAGTTACAATTTTTAAATTACTCAATGGGATTTAAACTACCTAGGTATATTCATAAAAAGTAAAGATTCAGATGCATACTCAAGGACTTTTCTTTGTATTGTTACTTTGTGAATGCTTTGCAAGTATACCTACTGCTGAAGAGACAATTTATTTTCATTAAACAAAATGGAACATGCTCGTCTGTTAGTGCAAACATTATGTTTTAAGAAAATGTATCAAATGTAATGGTAATGGTACTTACACTTTAAAGGTACGTTCAGTAGGTTCACACTTAACAAGTAAGAAAAGGTTACCTTACATACCTAGAGATTTTTGTGTGTACTTACTTACCTTTATGATGGTAGTTAGTTTATACTTACAGAAGAAGCACGAGTAGCTGCTTCAGGTACCTGCACCCATGACGATGTTGTGTGGTAAGTAACGCTGGATTACAACAGCCAATATTTAGTTATTTGTCAATTTGGGCAGGATGGCTGACGTCTCTAGCTAGAGTTCAGTGGCATGATCAGTAAAAACTATATTTATGGAAAATAGGCTCAATCCTCAATTTGTCTCTGGTAAATTAAGACGGTAGAGTAAAGTCGTGCTCCGGCATTGTAGACTAATACCTAATTGTTGTTTAATATTATTATCAAGGTCCACCCAAAAGGTGGACCGACGACATCATAAAGGTAGCAGGAAAGCGCTGGACGCAGGCCGCTACCAACCGGGTAACATGGAAAGCATTGGGGGAGGCCTATGTTCAGCAGTGGACGTCCTATGGCTGAGATGATGATGATGATTTTCAAGGCAAGGTTTTACTATAATGTAAATATACTCTAGGAATTCATAATATGAATTAACGATCAAATATAGCCTTTTCTTCAAATTTCAAATATAAGTCGCATAAATACGAGTATGACGTATTAAAGTTATTACTAGGAATATCTCTAAACCAAACACACTGTACTAACTCCATGTAATCCTGGATTCTGCGAAGCGCTCTATAATTTATTTATGTCTGTACTAAAACACGCAGATGCTGAAAGAGGAAAATCTAATTCAGTAAGAATACAGCTAAATTCTTTAGGTGAAGCTCACAGAGTTTCGCGGAATTGATAACATAGCTTAACGTTTTCACCAATGTGAATAACTCTTCAAACAATTTTCTGGTTTCGTTTCTATTACATTTTCAGATTTCCTTGTTTTTGAACTAGTCATTTTTCGCGACTAGCCTGCTTGGATTTCGATCTGTACTAGAACTCTACTATTATCCTGATTGTATGTATTACACAGTACAGTTCTTTTTGGAAATCTTCAAATAATTTCAGCATTGTCTCTACTTATGTAATGTTTTAACATTTTAATTATGATTTAAAATTCGTGAAGTCTTCGCTGCGTACCTTCACCACCAAATCGAAGCCAGTAATAATGATTGTCTAGAGTCTAGAGATATCAAAGGAGCGTATCAGTCGTGTGGCAGCCAATTACCAATTACGTAGTAATGTTTATTGTGAAGTCAATAGCAATTGCAATACTGCTAATTAACTAAAAATTTGCTTTATAAAGACTGCAATTATAATGTTTTTTGTGTTAGGAGGTATCAGCCAAGTTGCTCAACAGTGAAATGCAATAATATTTCCACTTAATCTCAGCAAATTAATTTGGAAGTTCAAAGCGTATTCAGTACGTTCCACAAACTACCTCCTTAAATTTAATGAAACGATCTTAACGACTTACGAACTAATACTTTAAACATTAATTTCCAAACCGTATTTCACTGAGCGCATTACTCCAGTTTCGAAATTAATTTATGTACGGAATACCTCATTTCCTTAGCTCATTAGTGCAAAACAGATCGAAGGAGTAAGTTTACTTCGCGTTTAATACATACATGTCACCCAGCATATAATGCAAAAATAAAATTTTACAAAGTCTAATAGAATTTACCTTAGGTACTACTGTGTCCATACTTTCCAAAATCGAACAGAAAGAAAAATTGCCAAATCACCAAAATTCCAATAGGCTGATAAATTCTAAGATAAACTTAAATAGTTAATCTTCATCGGTTTTCTATTAAATTTTATTTATCAGAATGTCTGCACTTTGCTGCACGATTAGATTTTTTTTTCACTGAGAAATATCCATGATTGTCGATTAATACTTTCCTTCTAATTTAAACGTACTTATCTATAAAGTATACTTACTCTATCCGTCTGTCAGTGTCAGTTGTAGAGACGAGTGGTGTTGTTACATGAATCGTACTGAACATTATTACACTCGCTGAATTTTAGACCACTTTCTCCAATACACAGGCTGCTCTCTTTATACTGAAATCTTGAACTTTTGACTCGCTGAATTTCAGCCTTCGCAGGCTGCTCTTCCTGTGCTGTAGTCCTTAATTCCTGAATAATTCAGTGGCCAGTCTGGTCGCGAATTATATTGTTATTGATAGAGCAACGTCGCGGAATATCTTTGCAGTAATTGCACAATTAATTTCATAGGCCTAATTAGAATGGAGATGTATGCACTCGGTCTATTGTGTCCGGTGAATATATTGAGTCCGTAATTAGATGTTGGTGATGATGAATGACTTGCCAGTAAGGCCTCAGCCTCGAGTTTAGCGGGCTGAGGGGCGGGAGCGGCGGCGGCGCGGGAGCGGCAGGATCTTATGCGTAAAATCAAATAGACCGGTTCTCGAAAACAGCGGCGCGGCAGCGGCGCGGGAGCGGGCATCGAGCGGGCAGCGCACTCCTTCTTTTGCCCACAATAAATCGAGCGTTAGGAATAAATTTGAATCGAAATAAAATTGTCGCCGTTGTTCAGACGTTTCGTTTGCGAATAAAAACAATTATCTCGACAACACAACCATGAACACAACACTTCGCCGCTAAAGCGCCGCGCGAACTGCCCGCTTGTTTCGAGAACGGGTCTGCGTTGCCCGCCCCGCTCCCGCGCCGCCGCCGCTCCCGCCCCGCTGCCCGCTAAACTCGAGGCTGAGGCCTTAGTATTACTGTGTCATATATTTAAAACCTTTTAAATATGATGCAATATGCATCAACAACATCAGGTGACATTTAGAACAAAAATGAAAAAAAAAAAAACAATGGCAAGTATATTAGTTTATTTTCAAATTGTTAGGTTATTCAAATGCAAAAAGCTACCTTTGCTCTTTGTATAAGATTAAATAATGTGTCCACAGATAAAACACATTAGAAAATTAGATGCAAGGGATGTTTACAAAGAGCTTGAGTATAAAAAGCTGTGGCGGGCATTGCTTTTATTTCGAAGAATTCAGTAGGACCTCTTATGGCTTCGAATTCACATCGCTTAGCTAAATACTTACTCCCTAAATGCATATATGCACGTTAACTTGAAAATCTAATAACAGTAAAAAAACTACTTTATTGGGACTCGAACCCATGAACTTCAGCTAATTGAGCCTAATAGTTGCTGATCCAAACCTTACCAAGATANAGAATCTTACCGGCGGCCCCTAGCCCCTGGATGTTGCCGTTGGATATCCAAGGTTCTTGGATCAGAGCGAGGTCTATGTTCTGTTTGGCAAAGCAACACTCCACCACCGCAGTCGCAGCTGCTGCATGATGGAGGTTACCCTGCAAGATCCTCGCTCTGCTGTTGTAGGGAGCCATTGGCTTAGCGTAGGGCGGGTGTGTGAGGCTTCTTGGGTAGGGGACGTGGACGTCCTCTATTCCCTCCGCCTCCTCTTACCCCCCTACGACTTGTGCCGCCCCTCGTGGCTCCACCCCGGCCTTTGGTCGACCTCAGCGGAGGCCTTTGGCGCGAGGTCCCCGCAGGGCTCCTCGTTGCCTCTTGCACTCCAGCAGAAGTCGACGGCCTAGGTGTTTCCACGTTGGGCTGTTCCGCGGCAGAGCCCCCCCTGACATTAAATATTACATNTTTATTGGGACTCGAACCCATGAACTTCAGCTAATTGAGCCTAATAGTTGCTGATCCAAACCTTACCAAGATATTTTTAGGTACCCTGTAAAAACTACATGAAATATTTTAAAACCTCTTCTTCTACTTTGCCCCAGCCTTTTTCCTCTATTCGGGGTTCGGCTCTCATCGTTCTGCGGCACCTGGACTGTCTGTCCTGGGTTATTAAAGACAAGCTCTAAGTCTTTGGCCACGTGGACCACCAGTTGGCCAGTGGGTGACCTCTACCTTTTCTATTATATGTATACTACCTTTTCTATTATATGTATATTTGGCAGTGCTATGGCCTGTTTTACGACATGATAAACTTTGGCAAACCAATGTTTTGATTTCAAGTTCCAACTGACAAAATAGCTCAATGATAATTTTGACATAGTTTTTTTTACTTGTATTACGAATACCTCTGATAAAGATTTAGTTGCAGGGAATAAGGCTACCGATCAAATGTTTGCTGTGACTTCAGGGCTTTTACATTCAGTGTTTGTGTTACTCTAGCGCATTTTATTTACGAGTGCGGCCGCCGCGGTGCATTGATGTTTGTTGTTTTCGCTCTGAGTGCCGGCTAAAGGCTTTGAAGCCAATCGGTTTGCAGTGCAACGACCAAATAGACCATTCGTCTACACGAGGTGTTAATCCTTTGATGCAACACCAACATTTCCAATTCTCTACCAATTTCAAACGACTTGTATGAATTCGAAAAACGAACTTGTTCTATTTTTAAGATATATCTTCCTAGAATAATGCAAGTTAGGTTATTAATAAGTAAACAAAATATTGTGTAAAATGTCATATTTATTACGTAACAAATCGTGTCCATACCAACAAACCTATAACTACGTGTGCCGCGCGTCGTTGTCACATAAAAACGTCATCGGCAAGAGCTTTGCCCTGCCTGTCGTCCTCGAACGTCACCATCTTGTCCCTCCCCTTGCTCCCTTGAGCCTTCTCCCCTTTCTTCTCCCCAAAAGACGACAAATCATACAAGTCCCCCATACCACTTAGGTTAAACTCACTCAAACTACGCGGCACGAAATATTCTATACACTTTTCGGCGTGTCCCGCCGACCGACGCACAGGAGTGTTCCTCTGAAAACCTTCCTCACAGTTCGAAGACTTCCTCCTTGGGAGGCTGTTGAATTTTGTCGGATTTAAGCTGTCAATCTTGAACGTCACTTGCTGACGCTTCTCTTGACAGGTGGTGAAAGACGGCCCGGAGTCGGCCGCCTCTCGATGTCAGGACACCACGGACATTGATATCTTATCGTCGCATATCTTCTCCACGCTATGTACTGCGCGGGACTTAGTCCCACCAGAACATAATGCCGTGAAACTCCTCAGTGCCGAGCTCATGTCCTCTTGGATGAGATTGAAGCACATCGCAATAACGACTATACCCACTAAAATGTATATGCAGCACACCCCCACAGCAATGTCCTCAGCTTTAGCCGACACTGTGCTGGCGTACAGTCCAGGCTTGAGATCCCCGAAACCTATCGTCGCGAGACTCGAGAAGGAGAAGTAGCAGCCGTCGATGAAGCCCCACTTCTCGGTGGCCCTAAACACAAAAGTTCCCAGCCCTATGTACAACACGATAAGGAACAGACTTAGAATAATTGGCACTCGCGTATGGTCCCGACACGTCCAATGGTAGCCGCCGCTGAAGCTGTCCAGGTTGAGAGCAGCTTGGAATGGAGTTCTTTTGGGCCGATCACTGAATTTGTCTTTTTTATCACAGTCACTGAATTGCTTGCACTCGACGGGGAAGCGGTTGAGACAGTCCGCCTTGGCGTGGAAGTCTCCGCTCTTGAGGGTGGAGGGGCAGAGCTTGGAGTAGAGGACGCGAAAGTTCCTGGCCAGCGCCTCGCCGATGGTGGACAGGTAGAGCATGATGATGGGGATGCCGACGCAGGCGTAGGTGACCGCCACCAGCTTGCCCACCGATGACTGCGGCGCCACGTTGCCATGACCTGTTGACAATACATTGAATTAAAGTATACTGCAATTACTTTCGACTGTGCGGTGTGTGTGTAATAACTCGTCTATCCAGATAAAAACTGTCAAGAATTTCTTATCCCAACTAATATTATAAATGCGAAAGTAACTCTGTCTGTCTGTCTGTCTGTCTATCTGTCTGTCTGTCTGTCTGTCTGTCTGTCTGTTACGCTTTCCCGCTTAAACCTCGCAACCGATTTTGATGAAATTTGGCATAGAGATAGTTTGAGTCCCGGGAAAGAACATAGGATAGTTTTTATCCCGGTTTTTGAAACAGGGACGCGCGCGATAAAGTTTTTCTGTGACAGACAAAATTCCACGCGGGCGAAGCCGCGGGCGGAAAGCTAGTTTTATATAAAAAAAGTATTAAATACTTAGAAACCATTAGTTATTCTCTTTTTTTCGTTTCAGATTTCAACCAATTAAAGAAGAACTAAAACTTTTAACTTTTACTTTTACAAAAAGTTATCTGTGAAGAGAATTTCGTGCCCAATTAGTATTTTAGGAAATTGTTCATGAAAGTTTTACAATATCTTTCAAAGCAGAAAAAAAGTTTCAAATGAAATTAAACCAAATCTAAATACTCATCGTTCGAGCACTTAAAACTTCGCCGTTCTATCTTCGGTTTAGAATCTTGGCCAAAAATATTGAATCTCATTAAAACTTTGTATTGGCATGGATCCGAAAAACCTTTGGATTGCATACATAACATGTTAAACTGTTACCAAATCCTTTTTTATCGTAAATATAATTTCGAAAACAAAATATTTCTTATGTCAAACACTCAATAGACTTCAAATCTCAGAGAGAGTGAGAGAGTTTTTTATGCCTCTAGCAATTTCCCCACGCACACAACTTTGCAAATAGTTAACTAATCATTTTGCCACAAGTTTAATATAGCGCTATTTCATCTAGGTATCATTGACAACTAGTTCCAATTCGTTTTGTACGCAAGTACGTGGCCAAATTGTGAATGACGTTTTGTGGTCGTGGCGCAGATTGTTGTATAGTATCGAACCACATAAGTGGTAAATACAGTCGTCAGTCCTATATCAGATTACAAATTTTCATTACAAAATACTACTTCAGAAACAGTCATTGATGTGCCTGTAATTTTTTACCTGATTAGGCAGTCCTAGACGGTTATCAATTATTATCATTCTAGAACTTGAACCTTGTAGGTAGATGAAAATCCCAACTCATTTGAAACATGTTTGGATTGATTGAAAAGCGAATATTACAAAAGTAATAAAAAAATGACCTCACCGATCGTAGTGATCAACGTCAGCGCGTATAAGAAGCTGCTTGAGAACGTCCATCGGTAGTCGCCCTCGTGGTCGTAAGATATTCGGTTCTCCAACGACGCACCGCCTTTGATCGTCTTGATAAGAACCTTCTGAAAGTCCATCAACTCCTTAGCAGCCAGCTTCGTCCAGTTCTCCTTGTACAAGATGTTCAAATCTTCCGTGATAGACCAGAGCCTCTCAACTGTCTTCGACCGCAAATCACCACTAGTAGTTTGCGACTGACTGAGATTCGGCTTCGATGCTGCGACCGCTGTCTCTTCCGACCCAGTGTTCCCTTCTAGAGCCAGGAACAAGAAACCTCCCAGCAAGTTGTACGTGAGAACTAAGAAGCATATCGCGAGACACGTCAAAGGAGATGCCCTCCTTTTGTGAGCGCAACGACAACAGAACAGTCTCGAGTCGTCAACACCCCTTCTTGAAGTGAAACAGCATTTCGTATCTTCCGAAAATTCTATCTCATTCTTACAGTACGCTCGCTTCGACAAATCTCTGCTCCCTTCCTCGAGCATGATTCGTTACTCTATTCTCATCTCTTTCGCACTTCACCGGACCTTATACTTCTTGTGGTGTCTTATCTTCTTTATCTTTGGCATTCTAGTTGGTGTCGTTCACCTCTCGAACCTCGATCTGTAACAATGGAAAAGAAATTGAGTTTTCGTTTACGCGTCACTAGTTGATTGATCAGGCATTACTTGTATCAGGCTCCGCTCGAAATATTAAGCGTCAATAAATGTCAGCGCCAGTAAAATATCGTATTCGGACCACGATACAGCTGTAAACGTTTTATGTGGATCAAACGGCTGCAAAATTTATTTATTGTATAAAATTGTTTATGGCGCGTAAAACCAGGGATGAATTAAAACACGCATTTTCAGCTATTCTGGAATATACGACGGACCCTCTAAAATCCCATGGCAAATGTAATAAACACCTTAATAAAACTGGAATCTGTTTTCGTAAATAGGAAATGATTTGGCCGTCGGGAGTTACCTTTGCTTATTTTATGGGATTGTTTTGACTTTCATCGTTTGCTCGAAAGTTTTACAGGATTCAGTGAAATTGTTTTATTTATTATTCAAGATTGGTTTCACATAGCTATTTATAAACTTAGGTACCTTCTTTGGGAAAACATAACCAATGTTTTTAAGATTTCATTTATTGTATTTTCCTAGAATACGAACCAGTGAGAAACAAATCTTAGAAATACTTTTACCATCAATGTGTTCTTAGAAATTTCTCATTCCAAGTAATCCTCACTTACTATGAAATGTTACCATCGTAAATCCCTTTGTATAACACAAAGCATACTTTGTAAACGTCAATAATATCAAACTTTATTTTTTACTTAGAAATATGGAACTTTGAACTTACTACTAACTTGCATCGATAATGTACAAGAGGTGATTATATTAATAAATAATTATTATACTAAATACCTATTTTTAAGTTGCCTCTAAGTTGTTCTGGTGTAACCCTTTCAGCACAGAATAATACGAAAGTGCGTTCGACTTTGAAAAAATCTAGTGTATTGGTAAATCAATTTTACCGCGCCAAGACGCTTTTGATCGATCGTACGGTTCGATATATTTGCTATTTTTCATACAAAAACTTTCAATGGCGTTCAGTTGGTGCTGTGTTGAGGGACAAAGATGGACGTGTACCTGACTACGGGAGGCGTGAAAAGTATTAATTTATTTAAATTACTTATTTTGTGGATTTTAATGAATTTTGTGCGTATTAATTTAAATTATATCCTTAAAAAATATAATACGCTTTAATTTAAAAAAAAGTTAGATGTAGCCGAGTACCAGGTACTCCTAAAGTTCTACAGCACGAGCGTGCATGTCGGGACAATGTTTGAATTTTTGGTAATGTAAGTAATGGAAACCTTTCGAATCTTTTAAAGGCCTGAACATCAGATTTACTCTAGAATAAACTCAAGAATGTCTCCGAGACACATAACTACCAAATAGTACAAATCCGCTGTAGAAAATACAGCCACCAGTGAAAATATCGAGAGGATACCAGGATTCTAGTACCAATAAATGAACCAAAATGATCCCTTTTATGAAAATATCTAACCCCATTTGTTATTGAATAATAGCCTCGATATCTGGGATTCAAAAAAAATAAGTTATTACTAAAAATGAAAGCTCATGTTCAATTTTAAGATGCTACTACCCCCAAAATTCAGGTTTTGACAGAGTTCTAGGTTAAGGCCATGAGCTATTTTTGAATTTTTTTGCAGAAATTAGTATCTAATTACGATATCATGTCTTTATGAAGAAAAATAAAGCTCCTTATATCTAAAATGTCTTTTTTTAATTAGTTTAAATTGTAATTGTAATGAAATAGCTATTCATAGGTTCATGACGGATTGATACGATCGTGCGGGGGGGTTAAGGGGGTTAAAGTCACCCCCTAAATTTTTTCGCTATTTTTTTCTATTTACTAAGATCCTAAAGACCCCAGAAACTAACGCGATTTTTTAGAAATCGTCAAATTTTTCTCTCGTGCTGAAAGGGGTAAGGTATCTTACTTTCATAATCTCAATAACAAGCTATCAATCTAACATTAATATCTATTAGTTTAGTTCTTCGTGTTTGTTTTAACCCAGCTAATGTCAAATAACCAATACTAGCGCGAGAGAAAACCGTTCTCAACTATTTCAACAACGAAAGGGTAAGCATACATAGGTATATATACGGGATAACTTACCGCACCTCACGCAAACCGTTTAACATGTTCAAACACGAAACGGAATGGCTAATGAGGGATCGAACGCCCGGTATACTGGAAACAATTAAAATTAAATAATCTGCACACAAATTCCCCCAATCAGTGTCCAAAACAAACAATTTAATGAAGAAACCATGCTTTATTTGTTTAAACGTAACTAAATGAAGTTTAAATATAGTGAGATTAATTTGATTGTGATTATTGATTACACACGTAGAAACGAAAGTTTTTGTATCCTTAAATTACAAAGTATTAGGAGTCCCCAAATATGTAGTTTAACTTGGACAGACAAATCTACATAATTACTATCCACACAAAACATTGAAATAAATTGTTCCTGTCTGGGTTCTACGTGTACCTAAGCCACAAGACGGATGAAAACAAAATATTTCTAAACTTAGAAACTAGGTCTTCCCGGAATCCATTCAGGGAAAATCCAATTACTAGCAGGGTTCCCAGATGTAAGTTTCAGTGATTTGACTAATTTGTTTTATTTATAGTAGGCTGAATATTTAGAATGTTATTCCGAACTAGAATTTGATAAAAATTAAAAAACTTTGTCTTCTTATTTTTAAAATAAGTGACCTCGCTTTTGTAACTTTAGAAACATTTTCTTCGGTCTCAACTTTTTTTTTTAACTATCACACCAATTACAGTCCCATCAAGCTCTCTGAACTTAATAATAAATAATTTAATTTCTAAGTCTGGAAATATTGCAAGAATAGAAATACAAGTCTTAACTTGTCTTCAATTTTCAATATTTCTGTCCGAGTGATTTCAATCAGGTTGCAGGCAAAGTTTCCCAGTTTCCTCTCGCGGAGGCGCCGGCAAATCAGATTATGAACATTTTCTCCTTAGTGGGGACATGTCGGGATTGGCTCTCAGATGTTTAGTAATAAAAATAAAAGTAGCAAAACTACTCAGTAGAGATATGAAGAGACTTTATTTTACCACTCAGTGCAATTTTATTGAAAGTGGGGCAAGTTGTTTTTCTGTTAGATGCGATCAAGTGATTTTTTTGTCGCTAAAATCGCCTTTAGGAACGGAGTAATTATGTATTTTTTTATGTTGAGAGGACATGAGAAAAAATGCTTTTTTGCTCTAGGTACTGTCATTTCATACATTTTGACCTTGATCACGAAAAAAACTTGTTAGATTTATCTAGACACTGAGTAAATAATAACGGCTTAACTCTTCAACGCGGGAATTCATACCAGTTGTTGATGGGAGTGGCTCAACACACTAAGTCAACAACTTTGAAGAGCTAATCGAGATTGGTAAACTCATGCTGAATTTAGATACATCAAAGCTGAGTACTTTACCCAACTACTAAACCCAACTTTAACGGTAACTTTAACGATAACTGGTGCTTTTTGTATGTAGTTTGACAGATTTTTGACGTTTGTGAATGTTAAAGTAAGACGGCGCAACCCAGCCCAAGTCTTGTGTGTCTTGACAGAGTCTAACATACTCGTTGCTCGCTGCAACCCAGCCGTGCTGGTGGAACTACGAAATTGGGGTAACTTCGCACTTGCCTGTGTACATTTACCTTGTAGCTTAATAGCTCGGTATCCACTTGTTGGGAGTTCTCTAGTGCACTGCTTAATAAGTTAATGGCACTGTGAATTCTGGCGCGATTGAGTTTACAAGATAGTGTAGTGTGTGCATAATGCATCACGTACGGTCTACATGCTGCACATTTCCTAATATGGATGGGTCTTAATCGGTTTTTTTATGCGTAACAAGGCAGTTATTTGACCACAATCGCACCTGATGTCAAGTGGGATGCACATAATATCTGCCCAGTAAGTGCCTATTCACTCTCGCCTTGAAAAGGCCCGGATTTAGTCTTCGGGAAAGACAGCAGCAGGCAGCGAATTCCAGTCCCTAGCTGTTTGCATTATAATAGAGTTTTTTATGAATGCAAGATTGATAACTGAACGGTATGTCAAGACACTATTTATGGCGTCTAGCACTGCATGTCATTTGTGCAGTTTGAATTACAAGGATACTTCGTTTGTACTTGCTGATCACCATTATTGATAAACTTAAGACAAGCAGTCACCTATGGTTCTACGATTAATAAGGTCACTCTTTTTCAAGACTCTAGCCAGAGTAAAGAATATAAACAGAAAAAGTACCTATATTATTTGTGAAAAGTAGCAATTGCTATCACAAAATAAATAAAGGAAAAGACATATCCATCATATTTCTTACACAATGGCATCAGTTTTCGTTCAGCATTCAAACCTTTGAAGTGAAATTGATTGAACTGAACCAGTCCATTTCACCAGAGCACGTTATCATAAGTGTCCACTTTACCAAAGGACGCTAAAGAGAGTAAACATAAATACGCCCTAAAAAGCCCTGCCTAATGACCGTCTGTCACATAAAACTTGCCTGAAAGGATAAATGTAACTATTATTAGTCCGCCTAGACACAAAATAAATATGAAAAGTAGAGACACTTTTAATGTTTTGCTCAAAATCAAGATTTATTATCTTCGTCACAACACTTGTCGAGTCTAAGAGTAGACGCACACCGTTGATTTTTAGTTGGCCGATAGTTGTGCCCGATTTTAATTTATATGAAGAATCGGTCAAATCGAATCGGCGTAGTGTGCGCACTCCCATACATGCCCATACTGATCAACTGCCCGACTAACCTATCGGCCGACGAAAAATCAACGGTGTGCGCCTACTCTAATTGGTTGTGTGCGTCAGAAGGAACTAAAAATACATACGAAAGAGATGAATGAAAGGCACATGAAAAGGTGAATCGGAGTGAACTCATAAGAATGAACAAGAAAATAAGGACCCAGAGAAAAGATTAAAGGAATAAAAGGGATGACACAGATCTGAAAATGGGTGTGATGAGTATGA